GAACCGTTGCAGCCAGATTGTCAGTTCTGAGAAGGGCCGAGGTAGGTCCAACATTTGGTAATCTTCCAAGCCATGACTGTAAACGCCTTTAGGCATAAAGATTTTCGAGAACCATCCTTTAAAGGACTTTCGTAGGCTAAGTTCATCGTTCACTAAAAATCAGTTTGAGGTAGTATTACTTGCTACGTTTGAGTAAGGAAAGTCCGCCAAATGTGGCGAATACCTCATTTGTCATAACCACCACACTACGAAGGAACGTCTGGTCAGCACAGTGCGGGCTTGTACGGAATGGCCGATAGGCGGACTGAGAGGCAGGCAAAGAGAGGCTGACAATTCAGCAGTGGACATAAATGTACTTGCACCAGGATGCTGAAAACGCACACGTAGTAGGTGTGCTAGCAAATGGAGTGCTGGGGTGTGCTTTCGATGCAAAAAATTTCCTCAACTAGGGTTTATTATCGTGTAGCATAACCCGGAGATACATGAGTCACACTAGGATGCCAGCTTTTGAACAAACTTCGTCAGCTAGTGGCTACTTAAGTAGTACAGATAGTTTCCATTAGCTTTCGATGCCCCCTTTAAATCCCAATACACCTTGAAGATACACTGTACTCATTCGGCAGTAAATTACGTCTCTTTCAAACTGTCTACTTGAAGGATGTTTCCCGAGACCAATAGAGTGAAAAACAAACCAGTTGTCGGCAGCAAAATAACACGGCGAAAGAACATATGGGCAGGGGCAATATATTTACAGCTGGAGCAATACAAAAGCGCAATTCACAGACATTGCGCTGAGTGAACCAATCATCAGTAAGTTGGGGGGAGGGATTCAGTGAGTGCGGCGCGAATCCGACCTTCTGACTGGCCAATGGCTTCGTCCATGTCACGCTGGAGCCGCCGCTTTTCCAAGACATCTAGCCAGTGCCGCAAGCCCTCCTTGAGAACTAGAAGAAACAAACAATAAAATTAACTGATTAACAACCCGGATTGTTACTTTCATGAGCATTCTTGGTGATAAGAATAGAAACACTATTCCTTTTTAAACACGTAACCCGTTTTAGGGGTCACGCCAGGCCACATAGAAATAAGACAGCAAAAGTCGAAAGATATTGCCAATAATGCATTGCCACTCTCCCCTAAGCTGGAGATCGGAATATTGCTGCAGCACCCACTAGTCCAAGATCGGAACTTTATGTTGTCTGGGTGTTGGTAACATGTGTATATAACAAGGTTATGTCACATGGCGGATGGAGTTCGGCCAAAATATGTATACATCAAATTTCGGTCGGCGCTTGGAGACCTTGAATATACTGATCTACTTCAAGGTAAAAAAGCGTTTTTGGGGAGATGAAAAAGGTGAAAAGATGGGGACTGGTAAACAAAGGTTACCAAACGGGGCAGCTTCCTATGGCCAGGTGATCAAGTGTATGCGCACATGAGTGCTAAAGTGATCAACCTAACTTTCACGAAACTACCAGTCCCGCAAATTCCATCCTCCAGTTTTGAGAATCGAAAAAACTGTCGCGTACTACACCAGAAGGTTACATGAGTATGAGTGCTTTAAAAGCCACAGGTGGCCTGAGCGCGTATCTACGCGTGCCTTTAGACCCCCCCATCTCTAGTTCTGGTCGCAGCCTCCACTTGACCTGAATTTTAGCACAACGAAGGGATCGATCAACGGCTCACACAGGCTGGA